ATAATTTGAGTTGTAAATTAGATCTTGGTATACTTTATAAGCATACATATGTTCTAATTCACAAAACCAAAGTTCTTCTTGAATACTTTCTATTCTGTGCATTCTTGCTCTAGATTTTTGGTGATTACAAATCTTGCAGTTAACAAGGGTTCCTCTTTTTAGTCCTGTTTGGTAATATTCTTGGCTTTGTGGATCATCATATTCTAAACTTTTATAATAGGTCTTGTAATAAGAGATACAGACAAGTTGATTATTTAGCTGATATAATCCATCTAGTACTTGAAGAGTTAGACATTGATAGCAATGGTGGGTTCTACATCTACTATAATAAGTCAATCTTCTGGCTTCAATTTGGGCTTTATCACAACTACAGTGATAGGTCAGATTATCTAACTTTTGTTAGGCTAGATGACAATTAATTTTTATATATTCTAGTTAATTATAACCAAAACATAAATTTTGCAGACAATCTTTAAATAAGTAATCAGTCTAATTGCAGTTTCTACAATTTGCTCTTCTTGATTGTTTATTAGAACAATTAATAATAATATTTCCTCTTTTATGACAACATTGGTATTTATTTAAGAACAGTCTTTATATTGGTGATCTTGAAATTTATATGTTTTACACATTGGTATACTTTTATGATATGGTGACTAAATAGTTCATCTTGGTATGTAGTTGAAAAGGCATAGGCCTCATAAGGTGTCAAATATTCTTGTTCATATAGTTTCAAGTCTTTTGTGGTGGTACATGTAGGCTGTTTTTCTTTGGGTTGTTTTTATTTGTATAAGATATCCAAAGTAAGTTTCTTTCCTTTCCAGTACATAGTATACTGGCAAGTTTTCCAATTATAATTTGTTTCAACTTTTTGTAACTAGTCATTTTTTAGAAGCAATAAATATGAGATAGCAAGGACTATTTCGACGTCAATAGGGATAGTCTTGCCTTGTATCTTAACAGGTAAATTTCTAATGATACCAAGCAGTCAAGAGGTAGTTTCAGTAGCAGCAATAATTAAACTTTTAGAAGGTTCATCGATTTTTAATCCTAGTTCTTTTACAACTTTGTAGGTAATTATACTAACAGAGGCTCCACTATCAATAATAGTAGAGTAAATACGATCTTGAAGATCTACAAAACATTTAATAGAGGGTTATATTGCTATTGTATTCTGAATTAGGCTTGGTATTTTCTTAATTTATTTTGGTGATATAAGTAGTAAGGGCAGTGTGAATCGAATAGTTATCTAAAAGTTATTTCTAATTGTTAAAGGCTTGAGTATTGGAGTTGTAGTGGGATTTTTTGGCTATATTGATATTTCGATAATAGTATGAAGGTGAGTAGTGAGATCTAGATCTCTATCTTTCTTGGCTTCTGTTTCTGGATTTGCTTCTATTACAAGAGTAGTTTCTTTCTTGACTTCTATTCTTATACCTATCACGTGTTTGATTTCTGTTTCTGTTTTCATCTTGAGATCGAGATCTATTAGAAGATTAATAGTTTCATAAAAAAGAGGACCTATATCGAGAATAATCATAAGATCTTCTATTTTTATCTTCTTTTTTAACCTGACACTTTCTAATAAAACATTCTTTATTTCTACAATAATAGTATATATTACTATTAGTATTATTATTAATTTGTCATAAAGAACTTTTCTTATTATCTGTATAGTAGACTAATATATAAAGAGGAGTATTTTGTTTATCAGCAAAATTAATACTCAGTTTGGCTATTTGCTTAGTAAGATGTTCAATAGCTTGGTTAGTTGTATTATTTGTATTATAGTTAGTAGCTATAGTCTATCTAGTTTTCTATTTTCTAGCTTTGATTATAGTAGCTTCTAAAATATTATGTTTAGTGGTTTGAATGTTTATAGCATATTCTGGACATAGACCTTGAATAAAGAATTGAATAAGTAGCAAGGCAGGAAGATTATTATTGAGGTCTACTCTTGCTTTCAATTGCTTAAAGCAGCCCTATAAAAAAATATATACTGAAATTATTTTGAACTAATTATAAAATTTTCTGTATAAATTTTTTATATAAAATTCTATATAAAATTCTATATGAAAATATATGGAATTTGTATCGAATTTCACATCACTTAATACAGAATTTTATATGAAAACCTTTTTAATAATGATTTAAATTGTATATATTCTGTTATTTTTAATTCTGTATATAATAATTATAATTAAATATAAATTTTGTAAAATTCTATATATAATTACTGATAAATTCTGTATATAATAAATATAATTAAATATAACTTTTTTATATATTTCATATATAATAGATATAATTGAATATAAATTTTTTATATAATAGATATAATTGAGTATAAATTTTTATATTTTTTATATATAAGACCATACAAACTTAATGATTCAGTTTTTATAACCCGGCCGGGTCAAAACTTAAAAATTTTTTTAAAAAAATTTTAAGTATATTTATTATCCGGGTGAGTTTTTTAAAAAAATCTATAAAAAATTTTAATATTTTTTATATATAAAATTTTTTGAAAATAAAATTAAAAGCCGGGTTGCCGGGTTATTTTTAAAAATTTTATGTTATGAAAACAGAATTGTTAAGTTTGCATGGCCTAATATATATAATTGAGTATAAATTTTTTTATATATTTTATATATAATAAATATAATCAAGTATAAATTTTTTATATATTCTATATATAATAAATATAATTGAGTATAAATTTTTTATATATTTCGTATATAATATATATAAATTTTTTATATATTTCGTATATAGTAGATATAATTGAGTATAAATTTTTTATATATTTTATATATAATATATACAGGGTTGGCGTGGACCGGTCAATGGTCAAGCTTGACCAGACCAGTTTGACCAATTTGACCAGTTGGTCAAAGGGTTTAGTATTGAGTCAAAATTAGTCAAAGGATATTTAAATATATATATATACTATATATATATTTATTTTATT